CCGATCTCAAGATATCCGGTCCGGAAGTCCAGGTGGCCAATTATGGATTTTTAAACTTTAATTTCTACAGATGGCTGCAAAATGGTCATTTCAAGTCCTAAAAATGTTATTAATGGCTTAAAATGAAACTTAGTAGATTCTCTCAAAACAATTTAAAAGCATTTTTTATTTGCCAGCTAAAATGGCCGAATGGGGGCGCTTCAAACACTAAGTACTTGAAAATTTATTTTTTTATTTTTTTATTTTTTATTCAGATCTACAACTTCTTCTCCCATGACGACCCCAAATTCAACCGCCCCATTTTGGGGAACATGCACCGCTGGGACTTGCCCAGCTCTTTGAGGGTTTTGAACACTAATGATTTTCTATTAAGAAAACAATAGAAGGTTGTGTTCTGTTTGATATTGACCTAATAATGAATAAATATTTTACTCACCTACTTATATGTATTTAATTTATTCAATCTATTTTAAAGATTAATGTCAAGATATACTTATGCATTTATAGTAAGTAAAAAGATATATGTACACATGTTAATATTACAAGATATTTTTTGTAACCAATAAAAAGGTCCCGATTTTTTAAATTCGGTATCCTGAAATTAGCTGATCGAGAACTAGTCGTCTTACTTTTTACCTATCTTTTTTCATGATTTTGTCATGTTAATTTTATTAACTGTGAAGGAAAAAAATATGTTCAAGCGATGTAAAATGTTCTTTCATGCAAATATTTTTTAATCGAAAACGGCAAAAGTTCTGTGTCATTTCCTGTCATTCCTGACGTCAAACACGACTGTGGCGTGTATTTAAGAATGTTAAGATGTAGACATACGTCGGCAAGTTTCTCGAGATAATAAGCTGATAATCGCAGTCATGTGTTTGTTATTTCGCGATATAGTGGAGAAATCGATCATATGTGATGCACACTAATGCAATTTTGTTGATTTGATTTGATAAAATTTAACAATTTTACTAACGTTAGGAATATTTTATCCGCATTTTACATAATAACGAGGCGGAGGAAAATAATTTCAGACTCATAATCGTATACGTAAAATATCATTTTTCTCGTTCGACATTATCGTATAAAAAATGTACAGAGTGGTCCACATAATTCTTTACAGTTCGTTATCTCGAAACCTAAAAAAAATATGAAATAGTTATATTATTTCAAACAAAAGTTATAGGATATCGAGTGGAAAAAGATAGTAATATTTAGTTTACTAAAATATTTAATTGCCTTTGAAATCTTGAAAAAACTTCTGTTACTTTTCATTTTTTGAATGGAATTGTATGATTTTCTTAAATAAATCGATTCCTCTAGTTATTCTGTGTACAAAAGTATTAGGATAAAATCATCGATAAGTGAATATTTTTTTAGATATTTTACAATTTATCCTGTTATTTTTTAATATACACACAAGATATGAAATATCTCATAAAATATTTACTTTTTGAATTCATTCAACTTATTAATTTCATCTTAATACTTAATATTTTGTATATAGGCCGTCGCAAAATGAATGGCCGTAAGCAAAATTGATTGTTGTAAAACAAAACATACGGAAACTTTAAATAAAATTCCGTGTATTTTACAGACTTATTGATGCACTAGTGTGCAAAGATTAGTATCATCGATCGATTTCTCTCGTCATTCTACGTACAAAAGTATTAAGATGAGGTCGAAAAGTGAATAGTTTACGAGACATTTGTTATCTTGTATTCACAGAATATATATCTCGGAAAGTATTCACTTTTCGATGATTTTATCTCAGTACTTTTGTACATAAAATGATTGGAAGAATCGATTTATACCAAAAAAAAAGACAATACGATATTCCATTAAAAAAGTTAAAGTTGATCTTGATAGGGATTTTTAAGGTCTCATTGCAAGGTTAAATAAATGTCATTATCTTTTATCCTCAATATCCTACAACTTTTGTTGGAAATTTTTTCATATCGTTTTTCCAAGATATCAAGTTGTAAAGAGTTACGTGGACTATCCTATATGATATTTTATACATTGATATTTTATGAATGTTTGACGCAAAGTATCCCATATTATGTAGATTAAGTCAGATTATGTACAAAATTGCTCTACTATGCAAATAACCACGTAACAAGTTGGATTATTAATTAACGAACATTTGCGAATGTTTAAGCGCGATACGGCAGATGAGTAGCGATAATAACACCTGCCGTCGTGTAATTGGAAAGTAGGTTTGAACAAAAAAATCATCTACCATTTTGTAAATAACCACGTGAATTTTTAGTTATTAATTAAAGAGTACATTATCATCCGTCAATTAGTACATTATCATCCGTCAATTTTTCCTCAATTAATGATTAAAAAATCTACTTAATTGTAATAAAATATACGTATATGGTTATTTGTAATATATATATATATATATATATATATATATATATATATATATATATATATATATATATATA